CGACGACGATGATGATGACCCAGCGCGCGCACACTTAATTATTGCAAACTGCGGCTTCGCAACCGCGTGCTCTCCTATTATACGCAACCGCAACTGCGGCTTCGCAACCGCAACCCCGCAACTGCGGGCTATCCTACACCGCAACATGCACTCCATCGCTAATGGGATGCACTACGCAGGCAGCAGGCGCCCAGTAGTACCGAGCTCTGTTCCGCAACTGCGGCTCCTCGGTCTTGCCGCACTCACCGCTCGTCCGCAACTGCGGCAGATCGCGCCTCTTCGTGCTTCCGCTTGCTCGCCCGACTCTGGCGTCCGTGGCCGACGAAGACGACGTTTTGGTGGATGCCCTCGCACCAGTGCGTGCTGAAGGTCTTCTCGTTGAGCTCCTTCTGAATGACCTTGCCGATTGGGGGCAGCGCTGCCAAGCCGAGCTTTCTTCTGACTCCGCTACTGCGGTCAGGGTCATCCTCCCACTTGGGCATGTACTTCGCTGGGACCCAGCGCCGAGAGATGATGGAGTCGCTTGTTCGATGCATCCAATCAGGGAGCCACTGGGGATCGTTCTTCGACGGCCTCCCTGCAGAATCCGCGTTGTAGTCCGCAATGCGCACGTCGCACGGGCCAATGGGGAGGACGTATTTCGGATGCATGACGCGTGTGCCCTCCACAAGGCCTCCGAACAGGGCGGGTCCAGCCCTGAGCACCACCCCCATCGGGCAGGTGTAGCTGGCTCCGCAACTGCGGCCAAATGCTTGGAGCTGCTCAGGCGGGATGTCAAACAGGCCGCACAAGAACCGCACATCATTTTTATGGATGGAAGCAACCGCGTCCTTGAAGAAACTTGGATGCCACGCTGTTTGTTCTGATTGCGTGATCTTCTGTTGGAGACGTTCGGTGACTGCGTGTCTGGACACGACGGCAAAACGGATCACCGCGGCAGGATTCATGTCGGAGCCCTTCAGGCAAAAGCGCAGGATCGTGACGGCGTGGGTGGCCCCAACAACATGACCCGCAACTGCGGTCTCTGCGATGATGTGCGGGCGCACGAGCACCACGCCCGTGTCTCTGAACAGGCCAACCGTCGTCCAGTAAGGCTCCGCGGTGTTGTTTTTCAAAGTGACAGCGTCTTCGACGGCAGTCCTGAGTCCAACGGGAACGTCGTAGCTGCAAGCGCCTTCGACGTTCCCCGTGCGGAACAGCTCGGGGTCCCATGCGACGAAGACGACCGCCGCAGTTTGGTGCAAGATGCACCTGAAGACATCTTCCTTTGTTGCCACCTTCGTGATGACCACCACGTTGAACACCAAAGCGATGGTGGACGGAACCCGATTGCCGTCTGCTGTACGAAGGAATCCTTCGTTCCACTTGGGGCGTTCCCCAACGTAGTTTATCCCTGGAGGGGACCTGGTCCGCTGCTTCTTCCGCGGTGCTCCCGCATCTTCCCGCAACTGCGGTTCCGACGGAGGCCCCGCGCGACCCCGCGACTGCGGTTCTGACAGCGGCGAGCCTTCCGTGGGAGGCGGCCTTTTCCTCGGCCGCGAATCGGCCGAGGCGATTGTCTCGGCGGCTTTCTCCTGGGAGGCGGCCTCGTCTTCGGGTTGGGCGCCTCGTTTGGACTCGGCTGCGAGCAGCACGGCCGAGGGCGCGCTGCTCCCAGATGAGCCGCGCGCGGCACCTGGCTCGCCGGCCACCCCCGCAACTGCGGTCTCGGTGGCGGCTCCCGTCACTGCTGGTTGGTCCTGCTGCTTCGTCGGCGTCTGCGCCCGAGGCCCCCATTTTGCCTTGGGGGTCAAGTGCGCCCTGCGCAACTGCGCCTCTTCGCGCCTCCCACCAGCAGAGCTCCCACTCGCAGCGCTTATCGGCGGCGGCGGCCGATATTCCCGCGAGGAGCTAGACGACTGCGGGGAGGCCTCGCGCGGCGGTCGCTCGGGGCTTCCGCAACTGCGGTCCTCCGTCGGCTCCGCGACTGCGGCATCCGCGGCAGCCCCTTGCAGGCCGAACCTTTCCCGCAGTTGCTGCTTCAGCTCGGCGAACCGCTTGTCGACCTCGGCTTTGCGACCTGGGTCCATGGCGTGGCCGCGCGCGGCCCCCGTCCGACGGGGGAACTGCGGCCGGCTTGGGAGAGGAAGGACAACGAGGGAGACGGCGGGGATGAGGACGAGGAAGGCGAAGAGGAGGATGGAGAGGACGCGACGGAAGAGGATGGCGCGAAGAGCTCAGACGAGGGTGAAAGGAGCAAGGGGACTGCGACGAGGATGACGGGGCAGAAACGGAGGAGGAGGAATCAACAAAGTCCGCAACTGCGGCCCTCGGGGGGGACTGCGACGAGGACGACGGGAAAGGACTCGGCCAACGGAGGCGGGCTACGGCCAACGGAAGGAACTGCGACGAGGAGGAAAGGCGGAGGGAGGAGACTGCGACGAGGACGACGGGGAAGGGGCGACGAGGACGACGAACAACTGCGGATCCATCTGTTTAAGTACCTGTCTCCGCAACTGCGGCCGCGCTAATTAACGTCACGAGTGCTTCAACGGAGGTGATGCGCGCCCGAAGCACCTAATTACAGCGGTCAGTCGTGGGAGCGCCGCAACTGCGGCCAAGCTGTATGAAGTCGCTAGAAGGCAGCGCCGCAACTGCGGCCGAAAGCGCGCATAGTGAGTCAAACGAGCGCGGCGTCACGCGATCGGTCCCCGCAACTGCGGTTCCATGGCTGCGCAATCCCGCAACTGCGGTGTCAAGGCTGCGCGGACCACCGCGGTTGCAGCTGCGCCCCCTTGCTCGCGTCGAACCGCCCAGGATTCGGATGGGCGTGCAGCATCTTCCAGAACGTGAACGTTCCGTGGCCATCGCTCTTGCCGAGACCTGCCCTCGGGCCCCGCACGGGATGCGAGTGCGGCTCCACCTCATACGTGTTGAACTTCGGGCTAGACCAGGATGGGTGGACGCGAATGCCCGAGCCGTCGTCGCGGATGAGGACGAAATCCCACTGGGGCAGAGGGATTCTTTGCGCCTGTCCTCTGTCCACCCTTTCGTGTGCCTCATGTTGTCGAGACTGCTAGGGCACGGGCGGCACTCGCAGCGGACCAACCCGCGACTGCGGTCATTGTCAGGGCCGCACACGACGCGCAGCATTGTAGGTCCATCCATCTGCGCGACCATCTCCAGCCAAGACCACGGCACTTTGACAGTGTGGTCCCAGTCCCAATCCCTGTTGTCCTGCGCCTTCCCCTTTGCGCGGTACTTAAGGATCTTCGAAATTTCCTCCGCAACTGCGGTACCTCCGAAGACGGGCGTGCGGCTGCCGAAAGGGTTTTCTCGGTCTTCGTACTCGTCTCGGAACCACTTCAAGGCCGCGTTGTGCTGCTTATAATTGCCGTTCCAGTTCGCCCTGAAGTTCTCGAAGAATTCCAACTTGAAAATTGGCAGCGGCTCATTGCGCACAATTTGAAACAGCGCAACTGCGCCTTGTTCTTCGCGCCCTGGGGGAAGCAGGGGACCGCCTCCTTTGCCCGCCGCTGTTGCGGCCGCGGGCTCCGCGGCAGGAGAACCTGCCGAGGCACTCGAGCGGCCACCTTCCCATGCATTCCACCAGCCACCCTCGTCGTCCCACCAGCGGGCGCCCTCCATTCCCCAACCCTCGCATCCGTTGCCGCCCCATCCGCCGCCCTCCCATCCGCGACTGCGGTCACTTCCGTCGCCGCCATCCTGCGCTTTTCCTCTCATCCGCCAAGAGAATCTCCGCCGCCCCAGCCGCCACTGCGGTCACCTCCGCCGCCGTATCCGCCACTGCGGCCGCCCCAACCCCCACTTGTTCCCCAACCGCCGCCGCTGCTCTTTGAAGAATCCGCAACTGCGGCCCGTGTTTCCTCTTCCGCTTTGTCATCCCACCCTGCACGCATCTCTGCCCCGACTGCAGGCCGCGGAGGCGGGCGCGAGCCCGCCCAACCGCCGTGAAACCTACCGTCGGCGCGGGCTTGAGCCGAACGTGCATGGAGGAGGAGGATGAGGAGGAGGAGGGTGAATGTGAGGAGGATGATGCGTTCCTGGGAGGTGTGCCTTCGCGTGCAACACAAGAGCCCTGAGAATTCCTGAGGCCCCTCCAACAGCCAAGGACGCGGATGACAAGAAAGTCGAGAAGATTGGGAACCGATTGAGGATTAAGAGGCGTGCGACGAAAGGGATGATGATGACGAAGAGGAAGATCAGTGAAGGGGAGGAGCGGACAGGAATTATGGAGGAGTGATAGCAGAGGAGGAAGAGGGGGAAGGGGGAGGAGGAGGAGGAGGAGGAGGAGGGAGAGGAAAAGGGGGAGGAGGAGGAGGAGAAGGGGAGGAGGAGGAGGAGGAGGAGGAGGAGGAGGAGGAAGAGGAGGAGGAGGAGGAGGAGGAGGAGGAGAGGAGGAGGACGACGACGACGAGGAGGAGGAGGAGGAGGAGAGGGAGAAGGAGAACGGGGACAGGAGGACAAGGACGGAGAAATATAACAAATGAGGGGGAGGAGGCGGAGGAGGAGGAGGACGAGGAGGAGAAGCAGGAAGAGGAGGAGGAGAGGGGGGAGGAAGAGTGCGCGTGAGACTGGGAGAACGAGGTAATTAATTAGAGAGGGAACGGGGGAGGAGGGAGGACAAGGAAGAGCATACAGCGACGAGAAGAGGAGAAGGAACAGACGAAGGCTCCTGCTGATCGCATTTCCGCATCGTTCAAAGCAGTGCCGGGGCACTGCTTTGAACGACTGGTGATGTTCAAAGCAGTTCCCCGGCACTGTGTTCCATCGTCGCCGTTATAAGGGCTATCGGATTAAGGAGGAGGAGGAGAAGGAAGAGGAGGAGGAGGAGGAGGGAGGAGGAGGATAAGGAGGAGGAGGAGGAGGAGGAGGAGGAGGAGGAGGAGGAGGAGGAGGAGGAGGAGGGATGAGGAGGAGGATAAGGAGGAGGATGAGGAGGAGGAGGAGGAGGAGGGAGGAGGAGGAGTCGTCGGCCCGCGGGGCTTCCGGCTCCCGGCCTGCGGCACAGCTCACGGCCGTGGGCCGCCTTCGCGGGCGAGATGGCGCCGTAGTCCTGCGGGGCGCGGCTGCGCTCACGGCCCGGCGGGGCGGCCCCCGCAGCGGAGGCCTCCTGCGGCAGCTCCTGTGGAGCAGGGGCCGGTCGTCCCGGCACTCCTATAGGCCTACCACGACCTGATCTTAGAACCCCAAAATGTTGTCAGAACCCAAACAAGGTTCTCAGAGCATAATCCCGATGTGTTCAAACAGGCCAGGCTCCGGCCATGAATCTTCTGAGATCAGTTCGTGCAAACCACAGAAGGCTCTTAGAGCAGTCTCTGGTGGGCCTAGAAGCGAGCCAAGACGCTTCGCCACTGCTTGACTGGGAGTCTCCCGTTCCACCCTGCCGGCTCTTGCGGATCGACGCTAGCTGACGCGAGTCGACGCGAAATCGACGCTCATCGGCACTGCCGACGCTGGTCGACGCCCCTCAAACGGGGACTCCACTAGCGGGTACTTTGGCCAGTGACCCAGCGAACCCAGCCCTTCCCGATGTGGGCAAAGCTGCCATGCAAGCAAAAGGAGCTAAAGTGGCAACTTTCGGCAAAAGTCAAAGTACCCGTTAGTAAGTACCCGTCACGGTGCCGTTGAGCTGGTCGACGCTGGTCGACGCTAAATCTGCGTTCGTCGCCGCCCAGACCTGCTCGAGCCGTGGCAGCACTCTCGCCGAAGCCGCAGAGGCAGGCCACGTTCGGCCTCCGGTCCGGGGGGCCCTCTTGCCGAGCCTGAAGGGGCCGTCGCAGAACCACCCGGGATGGGAACCAGGCCCAAGAGGAGTAGGAGGAAGATGAGGAGGAGGAGGAGGAGGAGGAGGAGGAGGAGGAGGAGGGATCTGGACTCCTTCCGTTTGGACGCCCGGCGTGGGTACCGAAAAAATGGGCACGAAACCCAACAGCAAATGTTGTCCCAAACCAACAGCGGCCGCTGTTGGGCAGGCGGCCTCCCGTCTCGAATGGACACCGGCCGCGGCGGCGTGGACAGCGAGGCCTGTTCAAAATGAACAGGAACTGCTGTTGGGCATTGTACCCATTCTTTCGGTACCCATTTCGGGCGTCCAGATTCCGGGGATCCCGTGCTGAAATCATCTTGGCGGCGGGCCCAACTATGCAGCCACGAGTGCCCAGAGGCAGTCGAGAAGAAGAGTGGGGACGAGCAACAAAAACAGACCGAGGCGCCTGCAGCTGGCAGAAGCGGTACCGTGCGCAGTGCGAGAGCGGCCTTCGCCCGGCCCCCGCCTCCCGAGCCCCGCCTCCCGACTGGCCCGCCGCCCCGCAGACGCCCTCCCCCCCGACCCCCAGCGGGCTGCACGTTTTGGCGGCGCGCACAAGGGGGGTGGAGGGAGGGGGGGGGGTTCTTAGAAGGAGGCTGCTTCTTAGAAGGCGCCGGCCTTGCATCTATAGATAAGGCCCGCGCCTTCTAAGAAGCAGGGGTGCTTCTAAGAAGCCCTCCCCCTCCCCCCACACCCCTTCTGCGCGCGGCTGAACGTGGATGATATACAGAAAATGGGCGTCGGTCAAACAAGCTTGCAAACAATTCCTGCGCCGCCCCTCCATTGCACAGCCTGTGCAAGCCCTTTTCCTCCACAACGCACACAAAGCAAGGCACGCAGGCCGGCACTGCAGGACATCCCGGACGGGCGCTGGAACACACACCTGCTACGTCGAAGCGCGGCAGAGGCAATTCGCACACGCGCGCAGGCGGTCCACCGCCATAAACACTTTTTTTTACCAGCGATGACGGAGCCCAATGGCACGACGCGACAGACGAACGACGGACGACAGACGAGGACGACGGGGGAGGCGCAGGGGGCGAGGGCGGGAGAAGGGAAGGGGGGGGGAAGGGCGGTCCACCGCCATGAACACACAACGTCTCACGCTCGCACGTCGCACGCTCGCTAACCACCGCCATTGTGTCGGACGTCTCACGCTCGCGGGTCTGCCCCGACGGCTGGCGTCCGCCGTGCGGGGGCCCGGGGGCAGGCGGGGTCGCGGACGGAGCTTCTTTTGGTTCTCTTCCCTGCCCCGCCCGCCTTTCCCCTTCTCCCCACTGGAGGGCCGGGCGGAACAGCAGAGGCCCTGGGCGTTCCCTGTTCCCTCCCCCTCCTCTCTGCCCTCCCTCCTCCATGCTTGCCAGCCTCCTGGTCCTTCTCTTCCCTCCCCCAGAAGAGAAACAGAGCACGGCAGAAACATACAATGTTCGCGCTCCGCGCGGAGTTCTTGGATCCGCGCTGGACGCCCCTCCCTGGCGCGCGGAGCGCGCCGCGGGGAGGGGGGGGGGGCAAGCAACCCGCGCGGAGCGTCAAAAGTTTAAGTATGCTTCTGGCGATTGGTTCTTCTTCGGTTCCTTCCCCTACCCCCTCCTCCCGCGGCCCTTCCTCCACCCTCCTCTTCCCCCCCCCTCCCTGTCGCCGCCGTCGCCGCCGACGTCGTCGTCATCAAGTGAACATTGTTGTGTTTGGAAAGGGTTCCAGACGCTCTTGCCTCGATGTCGGGTGTTTCCTATGAAAAACGATGCTCCCGCTCGAGCGCGGGCTTGGTTCCAAATCCTGGTTGGTGAAGGCCCAGCTGCGACGACAACGGCTCAAGCTCGATACTTCCTCGCAGTTTGCAATAGGACGCCCTGGCCAGAGAGGCCCCCAAACTCGAGACCAGCGCCCTGGCCCGAGACTTCTGCCTCATAGCGCCCCCCTCCCATTTCGGTACACCCCTCAAACGTCTTCTACCGAAGCCCCCAAGTGCTGGTAGGGCCATCCAGCCAATGTCAGTACACCGCTCAAACGTTTCGTCCGAAGTCCCCGGCACACCCCTCTCACGTTTCCAGGCCCATTACGGAGGTCCGAAGAAGCCCCCTAGCACACCCCTCTCACGTTTCATGGCCCACCGAAGCCCCAAGTGTAAGGTCTGTACCTTCCCCCACCCTGTTTCGGCACACCATTCACACGTTTCGTGGCCGCATTGAAATCTTCAGTTGAACCCCCAGTGGGTGCGTCCAAACAGCGTCATATTTCTTTGGCACACCACTCACACGCTTCGTAGCTCCACGGAGAGCTCCACCTACGGCCCTGGTGGGTGTGTCCACATGCGCCCCCCCCCGCCCAGTTCGGCGCACCCTTCACGCACATCGTGGCCCCATGGGGAGCCCCTCTGGTGGGTTCGTCCACATGCGCCCCCCCCCGCCGGGGTGCGTCCTGGCCCCGATCTCGGAGCGCGAATCCAGCGGTGGCGACGAGGGCCCTCCAGGAGGCGCCGGGCGAAGGGCGAAGGGCAGCGGTTTTAGGGGGCCACATGTGAACCCTACCCCTACCGCCCCACGATTTCTGAGGGGAGGGTGGGGTTCACTTCGTTCGGGGACGTCCGAGCGAAGCCTCAGAAATCGTGGGGCTGTAGGGGGTTCACATGTGGCCCCTATAGGTATGAGTGCCTCTTCTTCCTCCGAGCTCGGCCGCTCCCCCGAGCTATATCTTCGTGGCGCCGCCGCCGGGCCGCCGCCGCCGAGGACGGGGGGAGGCGAAGGGGTAGGACAGCGAAAATCATGATAGAGAATCCGCTCGCGTAGCGTAGGGTAGGGTAGGATAGGGTAGGATAGGGCAGAGGGTAGGATAGGGTAGGATAGAGCAAAGGGTAGGATAGCAAAGGGTAGGATAGCAAAGGGTAGGGTAGGATGGCACAGCGTAGGATAGGGTTCTCCTGGCGCCTCCCGGCGCCGGGAGGCGCGCACACCGAGGAGTGGGCCCCGCGGCGGGGCCGGAGCCCAGCGGCAGGCAGCAGGTTTCGTGCCCCCCCGCCCCCGTTCACTATATAAAACAGGGCTGGGATCGGGATAAATCGCTCCAGAGCGTTCCGGAGCGCTCTCAGAGCGCTCCGGAACGCTCTGGAGCGGCCGCGGCGCCCAAGACCTCCTCCAAACCCGCCGATTCTTAGAGACTTCGAGTTCTACCGATCCGATCTTGTCCCGATCTTCGCGTCAGCTTTGGACACCCGAAATGGGTACCGAAAGAATGGGCAACATGCCCAACAACAAATGTTGTCCCGAACCAACAGCGGCCGCTGTTGGGCAGGCGGCCTTCTGTCTCGAATGGACACCGGCCGCGGCGGCGCGGACAGCGAGTCCTGTTCAGAATGAACAGGAACTGCTGCTGGGCATCGTACCCATTCTTTCGGTACCCATGTCGGGCGTCCAGATCAGCCGGCTATCTCTTGCCCCCCCGCCCGGCCCGGCGAGGGCGCCCCCTCCTGCACCACGCCGGAGAAGCCGCCGTAGACTGCGCGCGCGCGGCGCGCCCGCGGGCGGGGGCCCGCGGCCCAGGAGGCCGAGCTCGGGATGGGGCCCCGAGCGGGCTGGGCCGAAGACAGGAGAACATCCCGCCAGAAGCACGAGACCCTGCCTCCTCCTCCTCCTCCTCCTCCTCCTCCTCCTCCTCCTCCTCCTCCTCCTCCTCCTCCTCCTCCTCCTCCTCCCCCCTCCTCCTCCTCCTCCTCCTCCCTCCCCCCTCCTCCTCCTCCTCCTCCTCCTCCTCCTCCTCCTCCTCTCTTCCTCCTCCTTCTCCTCCTCCTCCTCCTCACCTCCTTCCTCCTCCTCCTCCTCCTCCTCCTCCTCCTCCTCCTCCCCTCCTCCCCCTCCTCCCCCTTCATCCTCCCGCTCTGCTGGCCAGACCGAAGACATCGAGGAGGCCCTCCCCCAAGATGATATCACAATCACATCCAACAGGCACGCAGGGCGCTCACCTCGGCCCGACCGTCTCCGATCGTCGGGACCCGGGCGTCCGTCCGGGGCTCAGAGCGCGCACGCTGCGGAAGGCGTGCTGCTGGCACGGCCCTCTGGCCTCTGGGGCACATGGCTGCGGAGGCGGGGAAGCGCTGCTGCAAACCCTTCGCTCCCTTCTGTTGCACCCTCGGGGGGCCCTGTCTGCCTCGTCGCGGCCCCCTCCGGGTCGAATATGTGTCGAATCCATGTTGGGCGCGTCGGATCCGTGTCGACTCCGTGTCGAATCCGCGTCGAATCCGGGCCAAATCCGCGTCGGGTTCGCATCGGGCCCGCGTCGGGCACGAAAGAAGACACGAATTTTGGGGACAAGCGAGGCCCCACGGAGATGCATCGTAAGCTTCCGCCCTTCCCGCACTGGAACAGTCAAGACATCAGGCGTATGGGATTAGGTCGGGCATGCCCCCCTACACGCGGATGTTGGGCGAAACATGAAACATAGCCCAAAGACACCCAAAAGCAATTTTCAAAAAGCTGGAAAATCGTTCCCAGGCTACTTTTCCGAATTTTTGAATATTCCTCCAATATTGGGCGCCCGAGTTATCCGGGGTATCTCGGGTCTGGGGTAACTCGGGTTTGGATTCCCGAAAAAAGGAACCCGAGTTAGCCCTGACCCGAGATATCCCTGATGATTTGGGGCTCTGGACGCCCGAATTATCCGGGGTAAGTCGGGTCCGGGGTAAGTCAGGTTCGGAATTCCGAAAAACGAACCCGAGTTAGCCCTAACCCGAGTTACCCCTGATGATTCGGGGCTCTGACAGTAGGGGGACAGGCCCGACTTCAGGCAAGTCCCGGCCGTCGTGGCGGCCATCGGGGGCACCGGCCTCTCCGACCCCGCGCGGGAGGCGCCCCGATCCGCACTCCAGCCGGCCCGCGGCAAGTCGCCTGCGACTGTCCAGCGGCCCGATGCGGCTCGATGTTTGCGTGGCGCCGCCGTGCATCCTAGCGCGGCCGATCCGACTCGACTCGCAGGAATAACGGCAAAAGAAAAAAATGTCCGCGCGGAGCGAGGACAGTTTTTGTTGATACCGTCATCGTTTTTTTCTCGATCAAGATCGATGCAGCCCCAGCAAGCGCACGTTCCGACTCGATTCGAATTCTGGAATCGACGGTTCCGATTCGATTCGATTTCTGGATTCGAAACATCCGCCCGGATCGGAACGATCATCGTTTCGGGCCGCATCGGCAAGGAATCGGGATCGAATCGGATCGGCCGCGCCAGGATGCACAACAGCGCCAGGCACGCGTCGGGCCGCATCGGATCGCCGGAATATCGGAAACTAGTCGGACTGAGCCAAACGAGACCGATCTCGCATCGGATATATCGACGTGGATCCCGCAAAAGGGGGGAGAGGGAAGGCCCCCACCTGGCCATCGCTCGGACGTCCATTCCCTGTGTTTTGTTTGGTTTCGTGCGTGGCTTTTCCGCCAAATGATCAAGGATGCTCCTCGATGGTCCTCGCCGAAGAAAAAAACGCACGTCCGAGCGATGTCAAGCCACCTCCTCTCCGCAAAAGTTCGTCGGCGTCGTCGGCTCCTGGCTGCCTGTCTGCCACGGGACGCGTTCCAGTAGCTGCGCCTCGCCGAGGGCGCTCTGGGGGGTGCCCGGATCGCCCCGGCCGGCCGCCAGAAACCCGAGTTGCGTATGTAGGGCGACGAAACCAGCAATGCCCACGGCTGGAAACAAAAACAATCTGGGGGGGACGATTCAAAAAACAAGCAAGTAGTCCCAGCGGCTGCAGTGCGCACAAAGAATACAAAAGGAGGGCGGGACAAACCGGACCGCCAGGGACTTCCCCGCGACCGCCCTGGCGCTCCGCGTGCAGGGGCGGAATCCTGCGCACTCCCTCGTGGCGTCGGGCCACGCCTGCCGCGCCCTGCGGACTTGGCATGGATTGGGAGACTGCGCTCTGGGACCATCCTCTCTGGGTCGCGAGCGTGCTCCAGTCTCTGCTGGGACACAGGCCACGCGCGAGGGGCAAGGCCGCCGGGTGCGCGGCGGCCCTGGCCCAGTCTGTGTGGGACAGCGCGCAGTCCGCGAAGGGCAAGGCCGCAACGCTTCGGTCGCGGCGGCCCCGCGGAATTGGCCGCATTGGACTGGACTCAGAAGCCCGACGCGCGATCCGAACTGGACGACCGCGCGCAGACGTCGCGCGCGGGAGGCGAGCGTGGTGGTAGTGGGCCCAGCCATGCACCGACGACTACCGAGCACGAGATCTGGACGCCAGCGCGCGCACGCGCGCGCGAACGTACGTACAGTGTCCCAGTAAGACGGGAACTACCTACTCGTCGACCGAAGTAGCCTTCATATCTGCACGCACACAGGTCATTCGCACATACCAATGCATGCGCGCGCGTGCGTGTGGCCTCACATATCTGCAAACAAACTCACATCTGTGAGCGTATCAATCGCATCGTTCGGTCACCGTGGGATATTTTCCAGAGGCGGCGGCGAATTAATGGCAGTCGGGATCGGGGGGGGGGAAGGGGGGTTTCATAGGGGAACAAAAAGAGACATAAACATAACAATTCTGAGGTCCGCGCGGATTTCTCGGATCGGCGCTGGGGCCCCCCGGCGGCGCCTCCAGCGCCGCCCCTGGCGCGCTCCGCGCGCCAGGGAGGGGGGTCCAGCGCCGATCCGAGAGATCCGCGCGGACCTCCGAGTTTTTATGTTTATGTCACTTTTTGTTCCCCTATGTCTATGTCACTTTGTATGTTTATGTCACTTCTGGTTCCCCTATGTCCTCAATTTTGTTACAGGATTTGGACATTACATCTCCACTGCTCCTGGCCAGGCCCATCCTGGGCCCAAAGAGCTTTGTATATGCCTCCCCGGCCAAGCCAGGCGGGCGTAGACGCCGCTCCGGGGCCGGGATGGGCCTGGCCAGACGCGGCGGCTACAGTAGGAAATCGGCCACGAGAAACCTCCCACAAGAAACCCAACCCTGAAACCCCAGGACCACTGAAATTTTTGGCGTGGGCGTGGGCACGTCGCGCTTTCCGAAGCAAAACCCTGGAAACCCAGGCGATCAAGGGCACCCCGGAGGCAGGCCGGGTGCTTCTTGGCATGGGTTTCCACTGCATGCCTCCCTGGCCAAGCCAGGAGGGCGTGTACACCGCTCCAGGGTCCAGTATGCACCCGCCCAAAATCGGCGGATAGGTAGAGACCTCGTCGCCCGACGCAGTGGCTTGAAGAAGAGCCTGCCTCTGGGAGCTGCTCCAGGGCCCCCCCCCGGGGGCCGTCGGAAAACGACGCGGGACGCGAATAGCGTCCCAAGGAGGGGGTCCCGATTTCTGGGGAGAGTCTTGGGGAGGGAAGCTGGCTATTGCTCGGACGTCCATTCCCCGTGAGCACGTTTCGCTGTCGTGCGCGTCTTTGTTCTGCTCCGCCAGCTGCTGCAAGATGTCCCTCGATGGTTCTCGCCGGGGGAACACATGGACACGTCAGAGGGATGCCAAGCAGATGGTCCCAGGGAGCGGGTCCAGATCTCCCGGGGAGAAGGAGGAGGAGGAGGAGGAGGAGGAGGAGGAGGAGGAGGAGGAGGAGCGAAGGCAGGGGAGCAAGTGCGAGACGGGGGAATATACCTGGGAACGCCGCCCCTCCCGGGCCCTATGGGGGCCGTCGGGGAAAACGGCGCGGGACGCGAAGGTGGCCCCAGGGAGGCGTCCAGATCTCTGGGGTTAGGTCGGCCATGTCCGCCTACAGGGGGATTTTGGAAGAAAAAAAAGAATACACCAACAATACCCCCAAATGGTCCAAAAATACTCGGGAAATCGTCCCCATACGATTTTCTGACTATGTTTGAACACTCCTCCTGTAGAGGGACATGCCCGACTTAACTCTTGGGGGGGGGATGGGGATTTGTATTGGCGCGCGGGTTAGAGCCGATGCATCAGCTGCGTGGAGGCCCGAGCGCACGAGGGCCCGAGGGGCCGAAGTGAGACGAACCCAAGGGACCCGGGAGCGAAGCGAACGAAAGGGCCAGGGGCGAGGGGAGGGGACGAGGAGGAGGAGGAGAAGGAGGAGGGGGAGGAGGAGGAGGAGGAGGAGGAGGAGGAGGAGGAGGAGGGAAGGGGCTGCGGGGGTCCACTGCGGCTGTGCAGCAGCAGCGCGAGCAAACATACGAGCTGTGGCGCGGCCGCAGCTGCTTACGCTAGTCAACCCGGACAAGAAGGGCGCACGATAAGGATGCAAGGGCCTTGGAGGGCCACGCCGACACTCTGCGAGCGGGGCGCGGCCAGCGGAAAGCGGCCAAGGATGGGCCGAAGGGGTAGGATGCAAGGGTAACATTGGAAAGTCGCTCGTCATCACCTATGCGGTTTGACTGTACAGTCATCGTGCTACCATGGAATGCTGAATAAGGAACGAAAAGGGTTTGCTGGCCACAGCGAGCCATAGGCTGCGCGACCTGGCTCTGAGGGACGGCCCGAAAACCAGATCACCTCCTGAGCCCAATGTGGTCATTATTTCAGCGACTTGACTGAATGCGAGTCGTGCAACCCCTGGCCACGAACCCACACTTCCGCACTCGGCCCACGTTCGAAACAGGGAGGGCAGAACTGGGAAAGGAAATTCTCCTGTCGCTGGAGCATGCGCTGCGGGGGGAGGGGGGGGAGCACGAGCACGACGCGGACGATGTCGGGAACGGCAGCGGGCCAGAAGGGTGCTGAACAGCGAAAGGGGGTGAGTGAGTCTGACAGAAATAGGAGAACGATGTCGTACCCCCCACCCCCTCCCTCTCCCCCCATTTCGTCCGACCCGGGTTACGCGTCCTGGCCTCGCTAAGACCAGGTAGTAAGGCCGAGGCCGCTGGATTATGCCAACTGCTGTTTCCAGCAAGGGGAAGCGAAGGTCAGGCAGGACGAGGTCAGGGACGCCAGACTGGCACATCACCAACCCTGGCCAGGCCAATACAAGGCCCAATATTTGCGCATGCGCCGTCCAAACCACGGTGTGCCTATCCGCTGCGACATGGACGCCTATCCCAACAGACCTGGGTATGGCCTGTCCCAGACCAATGTTGGAAATGTAAGGTCTGCGCCACACGTTGACATGCGAAGCGCAAAATAACACTCCGAACCAATCCGGGAATCATCCCGACAACCCAACCTGCCCGCTACCACTCTTGATTGCAGAAAATACGCACGCCATTAGATCTTGTTGCCCGCAACCTGTCTTCACACATCGTGTGCCACGAATGGTGTTGCCCGCATGACCTGAAACAGGGCATCACAGCATGGGCAGAGTCAATGCAGTGGCAAGGCGCACCCGCATCGCTGGACGTGGTCTGGTGGTACTGCTTCTGACCTCTGCGATGCTGGCACTCATTCAGGACAACGAGCAACGTTCAGGGCAACAACCTCCTCCTCCTCCTCCTCCTCCTCCTCGCTCCTCGCTCCTCCTCCTCGCTCCTCGCTCCTCGCTCCTCGCTCCTCGCTCCCGGGGTCCTCCTTTCTCCTCCTCCTCCTCCTCCTCCTCCTCCTCCTCCTCCTGCTCCTCCTCCTCCTCCTCCTCCTCCTCCTCCTCCTCCTCCCCCTCCCCCTCCCCCTCCCCCTCCTCAACGGACCTCTTCGGCCCGCTGAAGAGGAACAACGTTCAGGGCAACGAGCGCTGCTGTTGCGCTCGTGGGCGCGCGCCGGACGTCGGCCTGCCACCCTCCCGTGGGGAAAATTCAAAATCCTTCCGCGTGCCGCCGTGGAATGCCCCCTCCTCCTCTTCCCTCTTCCTCCTGCTCTGAAGGGGCCCCAGGACACACACATAAATACACACACAAATAAAGCTATTCCCCATATTTTCACATGTTTTCTGGGCTTTTGTCTTCCCTCCCACTTCCCATGTTTTCTGGGGAATCGACGATTCATTGTGTCTGTGCGGTTTTTCCCCTCCTGATACTCCAAAAGTGAAGACCCGTGGCAACTCCAGCAACATAATAGCTCGACAACCGCAACCACGAACACACCATGTCGGATGTTCGATCTCCTCCCGACCTGTTCGCTCCGCTTCCGCTCGGGAAGGACGTCTCGACACTCACGCTGAGGTCCTCCTCCCGCGCGCAGACACAGACACTCACGCACACACCCAGGCACGCCCAAAAAGAACCCTATTTCTGGCAGTCGAGCCAGATCCGACGTCCACCGTCGAAAAGACACAACTATGAGAGCGACAACTCTCCGATCCGTGTGGACCTGCGACGACCCCGTCCACGCATGCAGTCAATCTACTACCGTAATTAAAACTGGCTGGGGAGCGACGCCCCTTTTTGGTCCTGCAAGGGCTTGGCTGCACGAGGAACGCTACGGGAACAACCATGAAAGGGAGCAATGAGAAACGTCTCGACTGCACAAACACACACATACCAACGTTTTGCTAAAAAGGGCTGCACTCCTACTGACGATGTCGAAGGGTGCCTGCGGCCGATTCCACACACAGTGCTCACCTAGAGTCAACAACACGTTGAGAAGAACGTGCAGCTGATAGCACCAGACACACCGATGCCGAAACAAGCTCTGAGGGGGGTGTCCAGGCTATGAGGGCGACAGATTTCCGCCCCGCGCTGTCGGACTGACGCCACCTAAAATACTGCGACCAACACTCGGGGCGCAAGTATAGGCCGCAAGACATTCACAGTGGGTGGTTTGCAGGCTGGTCGCAGCGCACCGCTACGAATCGCAGCCGCTGTGCTGTGAAATTGCACGGCGCACCTGCAGATTGTGCGCGGCCCCGGGGGGGGGGGCGGGGCGGCCAGGGACGTGATGAAATAAAAAGGGGCACCACGAAACCTGGGGAGGATGTCGTGGCCCCCGCCACGAGATCACCCCCCCCCCTAGTGCCGCCCCCCCTCTGCCGCCCCCGACGCGCCACAACCCTGTCTCCTCGCAGCGCGCGCCTCTGCACACGGGCCCCTTGGGGGCGGCGGCCGGGGCGCGGGGGCGGGGGGCGCGACGGAGGGCCCCGAGGAGCTCGGCCCTCCCCATCTGCAGCTCGGCCGGCTGGCGGAAGAAGGCGTTCCTGGGGGCGGCCAGGAGCACGGCCGCGAGTGGGCGGCGAGACTCCAAATCCCTCATGATTCGACGCCCCCCTAAACGACCGGACGCCCCTCCAAATGCGACCTACTATTCCGGACCCCTCTCTTCGACGGGGCGCCTTGATAAACTGGACCCCCCAAACTCCAATCAAGAGAAACGCCCTCATAAACCAGACCCTCCCAATAACAAAAAAGGCGCCTTATGAAAAACCGGACCCGGGGTACGATGAAAACTAAGGAAACGATGTGGCGCCTTAAAAAACCGGACCCGGGGTACGATGAATAAGGGATGTGGAATACCCCCCTCGATTTCTGAGGCGGAGGGTGGGGTTCACTTCGTTCGGGAGCTCCCGAGCGAAGTGAACCCCACCCTCCCCCCCAGAAATCGTGGCGGGTAGGGGTAGGGTTCGCATGCGGTCCCCTAGGCGAGCCCAGGGGGGAGCGTGAGAAGCGCTCACAGCGCCCAAGGCCCACTCTCCAAGAGGGTGCCCGGCAGTAATTCTGTCGGGACAGAGCTATTACCCGAGCCGAGGTCGACAAGGCAACAGCTCTCTTCCAGGGGGGGAGGGGAGTGAATCGGGGCGCGCAAACATGGATCATCGATCCCTGGATTTGGCGCGCGGTCGCCCAATCCATGGATCGGGAGAGGTGCCCTCCCCCAAATGCTGTCGGTGCCGCCCCGTTCAGCAGCGGACATCCGCGATTTCCCGTGGAAACGGGACCCGTCGCTAATCCACGCCCCCTTGATCAATGTTTGCGATCGCCTGGAAGTGGGAAGGGGCGGGCCTTCTCAGAAGGCTCGGGAGTACCCCCAGCCTTCTGAGGAGTTTCCCGAGCCTTCCCCGCAAGCACAGAGGACTTCTCGGAAGGCGCAAGGCCATCTGAGAAGTCCCGCCGCCTTCTGAGAAGGCCTTCTCCTTCTCAATTCCCCCCCTCGCTCGCCGCCGAAAGAGGGCCTGGAATACAACCAGATGGAACCAGATCAGCGAGGACAGTATATGTCGAACAGTTGACAACACCAACACTTACCAATACCAGTCAATCTAGCAAGACGTGACAACACCAGCACAAACAACACAAACAAACAACACAGCACCGCTAGCCCCACGCCAAGGGTCTAGCATATATACGGGCGCAACACAGCGCTGGATGCGTAGATTTCGGGTGGGCAAGGCAGGGCCCCCTGACTCAAAGCTGCCAGCGAAATGTCCTCACCGCCCCGACTTGAAACTGCCAGCGAAATATCCTTACACACCTCGCTCAAACTGCCAGTGAAATAGTATTACCCCCCTGGCATAAAACTGTCAGCGAAGAATCCTCACACCCCTCTCTTAAAACTGCCAGCGAAATGTCCCAACGCCCCTGGCATAAAACTGTCAGCGAAATATCCCCACAACTCTCGCTTAAAACTGCCAGCTAAGAATCCTCACACCCGTCGATAAAAAAAAAACTGCCAAAGAACTATCCACACCGTCCTCGCTTAAAACTGCCAGAATCAAATCTTCACACCAATCGCGTACAACTGCCAGCGAGATAGTATTACCACCGGTGCTTAAAATTGCCAGCAAAATATGCTTACCACCCTGACTTACAAACTGCAAGCGCAATATCCTTACACGCCTCGCTTAAAGCTTCCAGCGAAGTCTCCTCGGCCCCCTTACTCAAACTGCCCGCGAACTATCCTCTTACCCCTCGCTTAAAACTGCCAGTGACATATCCCCACGCCCCTGGCCTAAAACTGTCAGCGAAGTATCCCCACAGCCCTCGCTTAAAACTGCCAGTGAAGTACCCTCACGCCCCTCGCTCAAAACTGCCACCGAAGTATGATCACCCCCCTGGACTAAACTGCCAGCGAAATATCCTCACCGCCTTCACATAAATCTGCCAGTGAAATATGATCACCGCCCTCGCTTCAAACTGCAAGCAAGATATCCTCACGCCTCTCGCTCCATACTGCCAGCGAAATATCCTCACCATCCTGGCTCAAAACCACTAACTAAATATCATCACTGCCCTGACTTAAAACTGCCAGCAAGGTATCTCAACACCCTTTGCTTAAAACAGTCCGCAACATATCCTCACGCCCCTGGCCGAAAACTGCCAGCGAGATATCCTCAACCCCCTGACTTAAAACTGCCAGTGAACTGTCCTCACCGCCTTCGCTTAAGACTGCCAGCGAAATATCCTCACGCCCCTGGCGTGAAACTGCCAGCGACATATCCTCACCGCCCTCGCTTAAAACTACTAGCGAAATATCCTCGCCCCCTTCGCTCAAAACTGCAAGCGAAATGTCCTCGCCATCCTGGCTTAAACTGCCAGCGAAATGTCCTCACCGCCCTGACTTAAAGTTGCCAGCCGCATTTCCTCACCCCCCTGGCCTAAAAAAACGAGCGAAATATCCTCAACTCCCTAATGCAAAACGGCCAGCGAAATATCAAGCCCAGAAATAAAACTGTAATCTAACGGTGTCGGTGATTGGTTTGGCCAATTTTGTCAGTCAGTCTGTCAGTCAATCCGTCTACTTCCCGGCAATGAAATGACGCGCTGCGCCCGAAAACCACAAACATCGACAGCACTAACAACCAGCACAACACAACAGCAACGACACCAACAGCAATAGCAAACACCACAACAGCAACAACACCACCCCCACTAACAGCAACAACACCACTACCATCAGCAACAACATCCATAACATCACTACCACCAACAATAACAATACCTATAACAACAACAATCACGTTAAGACTGTTCGTTCTTATCTGCTCGCGTGCCATTCAACACGAATATCCAAAATCCTCGATACCCACCTTCTTCGTCTTCGATCGTATCCCCTGAGGGTGTATCTTTATTACCTGCAACGTGTTTTTTCGTGCAGCACCTAAGGCAGAGGAAGAGAGGACGGATGGAAGGAAGGGACAAAGGGGCAGGGAGGAGGATGGAGCACGAGAGCGACAGTACGAGGAAAGGTCTCGGAGCAGAAAGCACGTGGCAGAACCAGACGGGCAAATTAGACAGGTAGACCCTAACAGGCGGGCCCAGGCGGCCAGGTCGAGCAGGCGGGTTGCTGAAGCGTGCGTCCTACATGCATCGCGAGGAAGTCTCGAGCGACAGCGCGATTCAAAAATAAATATCGTGAGGAAATCCAGAGCGAGACCGTGATTGCTGAGTGTCGAGGACGCGGCGCATGAATCAATTGCGACGAAGTCCCAGGCGACAGCGCGATTGCTGAGTGTCTAATTCGCCTAGCTCGCGTCCCGGACTTTGCTCTTGCCGCCTGACCGTCGTCTCGCGGCCGCGACCGAAAAAGCTTGCTGAGTGTCGGGAGCGCGATGCCTGAATAGATTGCGGGGAAATATGAAGCGAGAGCGCGATTCTTCTATACATTGCAAGGAAGTTCATAGCGACTAAATTGCTAGAAAGTCCAGCGCAAGGGCGCTATTCGATGGTAAATTGCAAGCAAGTCTCCAGCGAAAGCGCGACTCCAGAGCGCCGGGAGATCGATTCCTGAATAAATTTGAAGAAGTCCCAAAGCGAGAGCGCGATTCCTGAATAAAATCCGAGGACGTCTCGGGCGGGAGCGGGGGTCCTGGCTAAATTGTGAGGAAGTCTCAGGCGGGAGCCGTGGTTGTTGTAGTCCGGGGGGCAGGGGGCTAGTTTGGGCAGGAAGACTTGCTTTGACAAAAACAAAGTGCGAGCCCCGGGGGGGGGCACTTCAATTGAAAAAACTCAATGTGCACCGGTGGGGGGGGATCAACAATAATTATTCTTCAAGAATGAGAGTTCAACAACAACAACAACAACAACAATCACTTTACCCGAACGCTCAGTGTTCTCACCAGTGCCAGGGTTTTCATGCGACGCCAGCCAATACCCCCACTTTGTGGGGGGGCAGTGCAAGCTCTACCAAATATCCACACGACTCTTCGCCACCACCCACACCCAGCTTCCCGCCCTATGACGTTCGGACACTTCACTTCGTGGCCTGCGGACGACCGTGGCTACTACACTGGCGTGGAGTACACACCCACAGAAGTTGTTAAGCCTACGTTCGTACACCCACAGAAGTTGTTAAGCCTTGTTAACCCACAGAAGTTGTTAAGCCTTCCACAGAACATCTGTTGCATATGATGCATATGGTACATGATACACATGATACACATGATACGTACTCACAAGATAGTTGATCACATCTTGAGGGCAAATTCCTGAGGGATGTGGGAATACACAAGAGAGAGAGGATATGGTTGTCCCGAAAAGTCGTGCAGGTGTTTTTCGAGGACCTACGGTGCGATTCGTGTGATTTTATGATGCGCGGTGCTAAAATTCTTCAGAAGCCCAATGGTTTTTGGAGATTTCGGCGTGCGCGCGCGAAGAAAAAACGAATGTGTCCCGCATGGTATTATTTGACAGGGATGATGGCCCTGGCAGGTGCGCAACCGTTGTCGCAGAAGTTCGAAAAAGTTGCTCGCAAAAGCCCGTTTGACAGAAATGTTTAAAAAGTGTTGGGTTTCCTACGAATCCGCAAGAGCGCGCGGGATGAAATGTTGACAATTTTTTGTTGAAAAACCATTGGTTTTTTGATGTTTTTATGTTAAAATCGCTGCGAACACTAAGGTTTTGGAAGGATTACGTCTTGCGCGCGCGAATGCCCACTTTACCTTATTTTTTGCAAGGGATTCTTGAAAATTGATTATATTAGAACAAGAAATGTCATTTTATAGTGTTTTTTGCAAGGGAAAACGGATTACAACAAAACAACCGGATCTTGATGACATCGTATTACCTGAGGCTTCCTCACGAAAATGATGAAAATGTAGCTGCGGCCTAGGCGGCGCAGGGGGGCCGTGCACCAGGGGCCCCAACAATAATTATTCTTTAGAATTAATAATTTCAACAACAACAACAACAACAACAACAATTACTAGCACGTGGGGACACTCCGTTCTCACCAGTGCCAGGGTTTTCATAGGAGGCGGGCAAT